GTCAGTTTCCACAGCTGTGATGAGGAATCTGGGGTGACAGAGGGAGCCATGCCCTCCAAGCTGCCCTCTCTCTCTGCTCTATGTCCAGCAGCCTCCTGCTCTGCCAAGTCCTCCAAACTTCCTGCTCTCTCAATCAGCTCTCCGTCGGCAAAGGTCCCAGGAGCCTGTGGGCATGGCTAAGGCCTTGCCTCCCAGGGCGGCAAAGGTCCCGGGAGAATGCAGGCATGGCTAGGCACAGCTGGCCTTGCCTCCCGGGGCTGGTGATGGTCCCGGGAGTCTGTGGCCACCCTCGTCTCCCAGGGTACTTGACATTTGTGTATGCAATTAACCTGCCATCTTTGTCAGGTTAATTTGAATACTCACTCCTGATTGGCTGGTGAGCGTAGCGGAGGGACAATTTACATGTTTCTCTTTTATTATATAGGATAACCACCTCATTTTTCAGATAAACAAATTAGGGTTCAGAGATCAAGGAAATTTTCTAAGGCTACATTGCTACTTAGTGTCAGAGCCAGGATTTATACATAAGTCTGTCCAATTCCAAACCTGTGCTCCTTGAAAACAATAATACTAACTGGATGGTCTTTATAAAATGGATATATGCTCATTATAAACATTAATATAACACGGAAAAATACATTCTGTTTAACACAGAATGAGTAAACACCCCAAATGCCTCCCCCTAGAATTGAACATGATTGACAAAGAATATCTTTTACATATCACTAAGAACATATCCCTAAGAAGAAGAAATAAGCAATTTTTAATTAAAAAATGTACATCAGACCAAGTATCTTATCTTTAAATAAAATAACATTTAATTTTATTTGAATTTTTTAAAAATATATTTTTATTGATTTCAGAGAGGAAGGGAGAGGGAGAGGAGAGTTAGAAATATCAGTGATGCTTTGACCAGTTTGGCTTAGTGGATAGAGCATCGGTCTGCAGACTGAAGGGTCCCAGGTTCGATTCTGGTCAAAGGCCTGTACCTTGGTTGCAGGCACATCCCCAGTAGGGAGTGTGCAGGAGGTAGCTGAATCAATGTTTCTCTCTCATCGATGTTTCTAACTTTCCCTCTTCCTCTCCCTTACTCTCCATAAAAAAATAAAATAAAAATATATATTCACACACACACACACACACACAAATATACTGAGTGGCCAGATTATTACGACCACCTGACATTTGTAGGCAAATTAGCTATAATTTCGCGCTGAAATTGCTAGAGGGACAGACCATTATAAATAGGGAAGCAGGTTGTTTACCAGGACAGTAGAAGTGATTTTTTTCTGAAGATATGGGTAAAAAACGCGATTAAAAAAATTATGCCTAATCGCTTCATGACTGGTTATTTGCTGATTTATTTGATTGTATAGCAATAGGAGGAGAAAAGTACCAATAATGTCATTATTTCAAAGTGAAATAAATATAAATTCAGGAGATTAAAAAGCATGCTCAAGTTCATATATTCAGCTAATATATGTAGACCTGGAATCCAAACTTGTTTCTTTTTTTCTAATTCCAAACCAGTATGCTATTTACATTCCTATACTACCTTCTCCTCAGTTTAACACCTGTAACAGTTGCATGACCACACTTTTCCTGTGGCAGAATGGCTCACACCATGCTTCTTTTGCAATACAAATCCTCAACCCTATGCAAGACAGACAAGTATTATTGACCAAAGCGTAGAGATGGAGTCTAATGAACAAAAGCTATTACTTGAGAATCATAAATGGAACATGTCCTCTTGTTCGATTTCAGTTTTGTATTCTAGTGTCTGGGCAGTATTATAGTTACTTAGGCATACGCTAATGGTAGAAAACTTTTTTAGTTTTTAAGATAAAGAATTGTCTAAGGAGTTGTGACATTATCAAATAAGCTACTTTCTACTTTTCATATCAGAACATTAAATTTTACTTCTTTCCTTTGCTGTCTAATCATTTCAAGATTGAGAAAAGAATGGGGTGGCCAAAAAGTCTGTGAAGAATTTTAAGGTTCACCTAAATGATAGGTATAATAAACTATAACCATTGCATCTTGCATAATTAATTCTATTGAACTTTTAATGTTTATGTAACCAGACTTAAAAAAATAATTTATATTTAAACTTTATCTTAGTATTCCTGCAATGTTGTGTGTTACCAAACATTAGTTGGAAATAGTAGCTATAAACAGATGAAATTTGAGAAAGGTGATGTGAGGAATCTGACACTATGCCTGATGAATAGCACTGTCCAGTTCTGTGAGATTTGATGGTTGTGGAACCAGTTGCCTGATTGGGTGTTCATAATAATCTAGATCCATGTTAGAATCTTTGCAATGGATAAGAATAACTGAAAATTGCTTCTGTAACATTTATTTTAATGTAACTATTTTTCTATTTAGTTTTTGTGATTGCTACAGTATTCTAATAGATATTTTTGTGTAAGTAACAGTCTATAATAGAAATGCATAAGCATTAAAATGTAAAATAATATTTGAAATATGTAAATTTTTAAGAGAGTAGTTAATTTCAAAAACTTAATTAGGCAAAATGTATTATCTTATAAACTACTAGGGGCCCGGTGCACGAAATCCGTGCACTTGGTGTGTGTGTGGGGGGGGAGTGTCCCTCAGCCCAGCCTGCCCCCTCTCACATACTGGGAGCCCTCAGGCGTTGACTCCCATCACCCTCCAATCGCAGGATCGGCCCCTTGCCCAGGCCTGACGCCTCTGACAGAGGGG